ACCCCTCTGCCCCGCCCCCGCGCTCGGGCGCCCTCTCCCCCGGCCGCCGTCTCGCGGGGCCCAAGGCCCAGGCGGGCGGGCGGGCCCCAGAGGCTGCCCGGGCCTCACGGTAGTTCGTTTGAAGCCGAGCCGCAAAGTGCGGTCTGCGCGCCAATTGGCAGGAACTCCCCACGTGGCCGCCGAGGTCCCCACCCACAATCCTCCTGGGTACCTGGCGCCCGCAGCGCCTTAACAGCTATGCGTACCGGGGCCCTCGCCTCAGGGGTGACTTGGGTTCGAGCATTGATAGTCTCTTAGACTGGGAAGAGGGAGGGACGATGGATACAAGAGCGAGCAAACGTCTCCCACCTGAGTCGGCTAGAAAGGCTATCTGAGGTCCCCAGCTTCGCAGGCCTGGGAAAAGCGAGACCTGGTGCGCAGGCGCCGCACAGGAGAGCATGGGAAGGAGCTCGGTGCGGGGCGCCACTGCGCAAGCGCGGGGCTTTTTTGCGCGGTAAATTCGCGGTGGTTGGAGGCGGCCGTGCCTCGGGTTGTGAGGTTCCTGTGGTCTTTAACTCTAGATTCTTCGTTCCTTGCGTGCCTGCGAATGCAGGAGGACCGTTTCTGGGTCCGGAGTGGGGCGGCTGTCAGGCTTGAGCTCCTGCGACCCGCCCCTACCGCCCCCAGTTGTCTCCACTCGCGGACGGCCTGTCCCTTCTGTGCGGAGGTGTTTGCGGGGAGCACGTCCACCCAGCTCCTGCGCTTTTTTGACCAGTTGCTCACCTAAGCAACTTTTTTTTTTTTTTCCTTTTTGTCTCTTTTTTCGTGCCCGGCAACCCTCAGTGTCGCGCCCATACCGGACCAGGACCGGCCACGGGATCGCAACCCTCGGTGTTGCTCCCGCCCCTCGCTCAGCCAGTGAGCCGCCGATCTGCATGCGGGATCCGAACCCTTGGCGGGAGCGCCACCGCGTTTCTCAAGCGGCACACTATAGCAGTGCGCCACCGGGCCGGCCCCCTAAGCACCTTTTTAAGATGGAGAAAGTCTTCACCCTGGAGGTCTGTGCGGGAACCCAGGTGCCAGTGATATTGCACGTTACTCCGTTTCTTTAACGAAGGAGAAATTTAAGCTTAAAAGGCCGAATTGGGTTGCCACAGAAAAAGTTCTTAATCATAAAAATTGTCAGCTGGAGTTTTTGGAGAGGAAGAAACGTAGAAGTGACTTGAGTTTAAAACATTGGAAACAAGGTAAATGTCCATCATTTAGTAGCAGCAGATAAGTTATGGCTCCTTCAAATAGTGGAATACTGAGCAACTTCAAAAAAGGAGGCAGCACTGCCGATGAAGCGAATTTTTTAAACTGCAAGTCAGACCGTGCGAGTCTTTATCAAAAACTCTAATATTAGTCTTCCCTTCCCCTTCAAAAAAGCTGAAGTCCTTAGAGTGGCTTATAAATCTCTCAACAATCTCACCCACCTTTCACCCTGCTCACCCTGTTCCACCTTCTCTGCCTGCAACAGGCTGGGCACACCCTGTTTCAGGACCTTGTCACCTGCTGCTGTTTACTCCAACTGGACTGCACTGCCTCATACGTTCCCTCACCTCCTTCGTATCTTTTTGTCCCCTCTCAATGAGGCCTTTCCTGACCTCTTAAAACTGCAACTCTGCATCCATTCTCTTTCTTATTTACTCCATAGCATCTATTGGATATATATAGTCTTATACATTCAATGTATATCTCTGGAAGAATACACAAAGTGGTAACAGTGGTTGCACCTGGGGAGAACTGGGGAGGGTGAGGGTAAATTTTACCTTTTCACCTGTTTGATGTTTGTTTCTCTTTCCTATCTGCTATCTTTTAAATAAATTTTTTATTTAAAAAATTCAGCATCAGAGTGCCAGAGATTGTGGCACTAAAGTGTACTGAGCACCTGTTCTTTGCCAGGCACTATGAAGGTCCTGAGGTAGAGAGAGACCGTAGACCTGTATCCTACGCACAGGGTCTTGTAGATTAGTGGGGAGAGAAAGTAGAGGAGTTGACCTAATGGGGAATAGAGAAGCCACAGGCTGGGAGGACAGCACATTCCAAGGTATGCAGACTTAGTAGAACATGACAATTCTCCAGGACTTTCAAAGTGGCAGGGATGGAGAAGTGGAAAATGGACGTAGAGATCAAGGGAAAGAGGTGGAAAAAGAGGAAGGGTAGCAATGAGTTTGACCATTATCTAAAGAATGGGGGACATTGTAAGTTCCTAAGCAAGGGAATGATGTGCTAAGAATTTAACTTACCTCTTAAAATCTTTCTCCCATGAGAACTGAAGATGCACTAGGCCAAAATCTTTCTCCCATGAGGAGGAGGTACACTAGGCCAGAGGTGACACACTTGTGGCCCACAGATATTTGCTTTGGCCCAGATATTTTTTTTTTAAGTTGCCAACATTACGTACATGGAGCAAGCAGAACTCAGGGGAAAAACTGTTTGACAGTATCTTTCAAAGCTGAACAGGCACCTACTCTGTGATTCAGTAACTTCACTCCTAGAAATATACTCCACAAAAGTGCTTCATGCCTTCGCTGGGAGACATAAAGTAGACCATTTATAGTTGAACTATTTGTTATAGCCCCAAAGTGGGAGCAACCTAAATGCTCATCAACCAGAGAATGAATGAATAAGTGGAAGAATATTAGCAATGAGAATGAGCTGTATGCAGCTACATATAACAATATGGATGACTTTCAGAAGCACAATAGCAAGACCCAAAAGGGTACATACCATGTGATTCTATTCATGTACAAAAACAAGCAACACAAGTCTGTTAAAAGTTAGGATCGTGGTTCCTGGTTGGGGGTAGGGGAGGAACTAGTAACTGGGGGAGAGAGCAATAGAGAACTTTAGGGGCGTTTGGTTCTGGTTTTGTTTTTGTTTCTTTCTTTTTTTTTTTTTTTTTGGTAGTTGGCCAGTATGGGGATCCAAACCCATGCCAATGGAGCTAACCGGCCAGCCCATGTTCTGATTTTTGATCTAGATGTTGGTTGTATTCTTTTCTTCCCCCTTATTTTTCACACTGTTTGGCACCCTTGTATTTTTCACTTAGCAAAAGAGATTGTTTTCTATCAGTCCTTAAAGGATTCTTCTTATTGTTACTATAGTGTAGTTCACTGTATAGATGTGCCAAACGTTTTTTTAAATTGTAGTAAAATATACATGACATAAAATTTACCATCTTGAGCATTTTTAGTGTGCAGAATAAAAGAATGAATAAGAATGAAGAAAGCTTATGGAATTTATGGGACACTATCAAGCAAACTAATTTATGCATTTTTGGAATCTGAGAAGGAGCAGAGAAGGAAAAAGAAGCAAAAGGCTTATTTAAAGAAATAGTGAAAGAAAACCTCCCAAACATGGAGAGGGAAATAAACATCTAATCCGTGAGTCCCAAAAATCTCAAAATAATTGAACATATAGAGGTTGTCACTGACATATATCAAAGTCAAACATAAAGAGAAAAAAATATATTTTTTTCATTTTTTGGACAGTGCTGTGTAGGCCTGAAGAAAGAATTTTGAAAGCAGCAAGAGAAAAGTAACTCATCAGCTACAAGGTGCCTTGGGTTGGATGCCTCCCCAAAACTTGATGCCCACAGTGACAGTGTTAAGAGGGTAGGAAATCCTATTGTGGTTATTGAAAGGTGGGGCCTTGAAGAGGTGATTAGATTCTGGGACAATGCTGCAGTGAATGGATTAAAAGTGGTGGTCATGGGCATGGTTCTAAGGGCTTTAAAAAAGTGAATGAAGAGGTTGGTCTCTCCCTCTCTCTG